AATCATTGGCTCACAGCTTGTCCGTGCGTGGGATTCCTTCCTGAAGTACACTCTCCTACAGGCAATCACTGGCCCAGAACTCCTCCACACGTGGGATTCCTCCTCCACACGTGGGATTCCTCCTCCACACGTGGAATTCCTTCCCAATGTACAGTGTCCTTCAGGAAATCTCTGGCCCAGAGCGCCTCGGGGCACAGGAAGGAGTCCTCTGAGCCCTTCCTGGCTATCTCCTTCATCCTGTTTCCCTTCTCACAGACGCCGGGCATGGGTCAGTCTGCATAATCCTGCTCTAGTCCTGCTTGTCCGTCAGCAGATACTTCCCAATACCACCCTTACACTCCGTACCTTGACGTCTGCTTCCCAGGGGCCTGGCTGATACCACCTCTAAAGTGCACTTTCACATAGAGGCCCTATCAAGTCCGCTACTTTTTCTCCCTTAAAATCTTTCTTTTTATTATAGAGGATTTCCTTTTGAAGTTTGCTTCATGCTCTATGGCGAGCTCTGACGGGTCAGCCCTTTATGTCAGGAGGCGCACTGCTAACCCAAGCCTCAGCTGGGAGTCAGTTCCAAAACACTGACAAGGAGGTGGAGTCATCTTTTACAACACTAGTTTTATTATTTTTTTCATAATGTTATTTTATTATTGAGAATATACACAAGAAACATACACTAGTTCCATGGTATCTATATATACAACTCAAGCGTCCATGACTCTTTGACTTCTGCACCTATTCTCATTCTCCTTTCCTGAGCTGTCTGGTTATGACTAAGAGGTGTATATTCCATGGATAATTTTGGCTTTGATGTATACATGGACAGGGAGCAGTGGCGGCCTAGTGGATAGAGAGCTGTGCTGCTAATCCAAAGGCGAGTGGTTTGAATCCACCAGCTCTTCCTGTTTTCAATGTGCTCTCATATAGATAGCTGGTGGAAAAGTTTCCTTTTTACTCATTTTTAACAGTTAGACTAACTGTTGTTTAATTTTAGTAAGACTCTAGGGGCTATTTCTTGTTTACTACAGCCTAACTCAGATGAAATATAAAAGCTATGTCTGCTTTTAGAAAACATGCCGGGCCAAATGTAAAAGCACTCTCATGGGTTTCAGCTGGTGGATTCAAACCACTCGCCTTTGGATTGGCAGCACAACTCGCTGCCCACTCCGCCATCAGTGCTCCCTATCCATGTATACAGTAGAGCCAAAATTGCCTAAGTGATATACACTTCTTAGTCATAACCGAACTCCCTCAGGCATTAGGGCTTTTGTTCATAGAGTCACCATGAGTCATGCTTGCCTCAATGGCAATCAGCAACAACAACATCATCTGCTCAGGGATCAAGGTACGAAGAACGAGGACAGAAGGACTAATAGACACAAGAATTACAGGAGATTTCTAGTTTGATATCCCCCCACCCCGCACTAGCTTATGCTCTTTTGAACTTACTATGAAATTTGGGGGGAAAGGGAAAGATAATGATAAATTCTGAAAAAAAAATCTTTCCTTACCTGACTGAAATGGTCAAGGAAAAGGGAATGTCCACTGTACTAGGATAAAGAGATGGCTCTCAAAGGCATTTGAGTGTCTGAAGCCAAGAGAACATGGGATCAGAGTGAAGGTGATGCTCACTGGTCACTTGTAAAGATCCAAATTTGTTTACAATCATCTCCATAGAAACCTCCAAGATTCTTCCAGGTGGTGATAGGCTTGGTGGTGAATGATGTCACAAAGGAGGCAGTTTAAAGTTGATGTCAAAACTGCATCAGTTGGGGAACCTGGTTGCTGGGCAACAGATCACTGAGTACAATAACAGACTTTAGGAGAAGCAAGCCACACTCAGGTGAGAGACTTTCTCCCAGAGAAGGTGTACTGAGGTGCAAGAGGGAGCTTCCTGTGACACCAAGGAGAGAAACTCCATCAGTGGGGAACCTGGTCACTGGGCCACTCATCAAGCACCAAGGAATTGCACTGACTTTCTGAGAGGCAGGCCTGTCTCAGGTGAGATTCCTGGAGAGCTGAGCTGCAGAGCAGAGAGGACCTGAAGAATTTTAGGAAAGGTGAACTTCCTCATTGCACAGCACCAGAAAGGACCTCAATAGAGTGAGTTGCCCTCCCCCATACAGAGAATACTTTAAGTCTAAAACTAACCAATATTTTCATAAATATAGTTATCAACAACCTATGCACACATAACAGAAACAGCCTAGCACATACCAATTAAAAACTTTACATAATGTCAAATGAATGGAAATCCAAAATCTCTGAAAATGTTCATTAAAATTAATAAAATTTTAAAAAATTAAACAAAAGTACAATAAAAAAATTTATATAATATCAAGAAAGCAGCAAGCAACCTCAAACATTGTTAAAAAAAAGACTTCTCCTAAAAAAAAAACCAAACACCAAAAAGCCAACAAAAAACAGAACATATTGAATATTGTAGACCCAGTGAATACCCCAGAGCCAGGAAGACAGAAGAAAAATATCAATGTGATATTATATAGACAGTTACTGGAGAAGGTACAAATGGTGGAGGAAAGAATTGAAGCCATAAATGATGTGAATATTGCAGATACAGAGAGCCAAAAGAAATTTATATACATGGAGGAACATGTACAACTACTGAAGTGATAGAAGAATATAATCTATAAGTAAAGAGGTATAAGAATCTAAAAAATCATCGCAAGACAGAATTAAGTCAACACGGTACTGGAAAGAAGAGAAATGCATGAAATATTAAGAATGAAATGCAATCCAGAATATTAAAACCAAAATGGCAGAAGTTTCTAGCATGCTGGAGGGACAAAAAAAGCAGAAGAGGTTGAACAGAGAGTCAATGAATTGGAAGACAAGAATCTCAATGAGAAGATACTAAAAGAAAAAAAAAGGAAATGGAAGGAAAATTAAGAAAACATTAGAATCATGTGGGTGAACATCAAAAGGAAAACATATATGATTGGAATTCCACAACAGGAGAGGGGCAGGAAAGTAGAGACACTAGAGAAAACTTACCAGGTATCATGAAAAATGAGTAAATCCACATGCAAGAAGCTAGGTGAACCCCAAACAGACTAGACTCCAAAAGAAATACATCAAGACAGAGTATAGTCAAATGATCCAAAATAAAAGAATTCTAAAAGCAGCAAGAGAAAACAGTCACCTACAAAAGAGAACCAGAATTTAGATTAAGTGCTGATTTCTCCACAGAAACCATGCAAGCAAGAAGACAATGGGATGGGCTATACAGAAGGCTGAAAGAAAACAACTGCTAGCTAAGGATCCTGTACCCAGCAAAGCTGCACCCATCATACATGAAGGAGAAATTAGGTCATTTGTAGACAAGCAAAAACTTAAAAGAATTAGTGAAAACAAGGCCAACTCTACAAGATATATTAAGGAACTCCTCTGTATTGAAAAGTCAGTTGGGCCTTAGGGCCGCATTGGGAAGAACATTCTTCTTAGTGCTACACTACTGGTCAGCTTGCTGTACTGAGATAATTTGTGGTTGCTGTGATGCTGAATGCTTTGCCATTGATGTGTCAAATGCCCTAATAGTTATCCATGGTGGACAGTATTTGGTGGAGCTCCCAGATTAAGACAGGCTTAGAAGCAGGCTTGGCATCCACTTCCTAAGCAATACACCTTTGGAAGTTCTATGAACTTAAAGAAACGATGATAGTTATAGAACAGAGTTCAGACCTTTTGTTCATAGGGTCGTTATGAGTCATGTTCAACTTGACAGCACTTAACAACCACCACCACCACCTAGGGTCAACTGGTATTCAACAAGGAAACAAAACATAACAAATAGGGAAATAACAACCTCTTCAACAAATGCTGCTGGCAAAATTGGACTGCTACCTGCAGAAATCTGAAGCAGGATCCACATCTCACACCACACACACACAAAATCAACTTAAGATGGATCAGAGACCTGGGGAAAGCCCAAAACCATAAAGACCGTAAAAGACAAAACGGAACCAAGCTTAAAAAGCCTAGTCTAAGATATAAGAAGCCTGGTTCACCAACACTCTACACGACAGGACGAAACCTGCTGACGTGCTATCTAGCTGAACCACTCCCGCACCTCACTGTGGACCAGATTGTTTGATTAATTTTTAGAATTGCATTACCAGGCTTCTCTTCTTAGTCTGTCTTATCCAGAAGTTCTGTGTAAACCAGTCTACTTTACAGCAACATGCAAGCCTCCAGCGACAGATGGGCCACGTTCCAATGAGGGACGTCAGGCAGAAGCGAGGCAGGTCACCAGTTGAGCACGGAGAGCTCTGCCTCTGAACCCACACACGCTGTGAAGTGCCGGGACTGGAGTGTAAAAGCCCAAACCCACATTCTCAACCTCTGGGTTATTACATGCCTCACCTGTTTGGGTGGCAGCTCTGAGCACTCCCTGTCAACTTTCGCAATGATTATATATTTTGATTTGCTAATTTTCCAAAGCCTGGCTTTACTTCTATAAATTTATAGGAGTGACTGAAAGGGTCTAGTGAAGCAGCCACACAAGTGTGTCAGGACATCCACGGTCACTGTGCTTTGTCAATTCATGACCCACACATTGTCGTCAAGTCAGAACCGACTCCTACCTGACCCTGCAGCAGGCTGTCAAAGGGTCACTGAATGGGGGTGGACTGCCCATCTTTCTCCTGGGGAGCAGCTGGTGGATTTGAACCTAGAGAGAGGCACTGCCTTTGGGTGGACCACACCATCACGGATCCATATTTTGTCAAAGTCAAGTCAAGCTCACTTAACCCAAGCAGAAGAGACCTTTTACCCGATAGGAGCTTTCAGCTCAGCTTCACTACTACAATAAAAGACGAGAGGGCAGACCGAGAGGGCAGACAAACGCCGTGGCTTCTCCACTCCCCATGCTGATAACAGCTCAGCTCTGGCCAAGTGACGGCAGTCGGCCACACGCAGCAGCCAGAATGAGCCACCCCAGACCCGCAGGCATCAGTGGTGCCTTCACAACACAAATACACTCGTACCCCGCTCTCCAAGGTCAGCTCCAGGGGCCTCTCCATGGGACACCGCTTCCACGGCGTTCAGGGATGGAGTGAGCTGGGGTTCCACTGGGTCATGTGATGCTGGCACACCAAACTCCTGGTCGGATGTAAATGCCACTCGTGAGAAGCAGAGAGGAGGAAACAGCCCTCCGCAAAGGAAATGATAGTCTAAGAAAGTCAGCTGGAAACTGGCCTCCTAGATCCTCTCCAATAAACAGGAAGATGATGATGTTAGAGGTCGTCCAGTCGAGAACGACTCATAGCAACTCCATGAGCATATACCTGAATCCACTCCTGTCTTTGGACCATACTCACTATCTCTGCTGAATCCACTCCTGTCCCCTGGGCCATCCCCACTATCTCCGCTGAATCCACTCCTGTCCTGAGCGATTCCCACTATCTCCACTGAATCCACTCCTCTCCCCCAGACCATCCCCACTCCTGTCCTGGGCCATCCTCACTATCTGTGAAACACTCGAGCCCATTTCTGCAGTCACCATGTCCATTTATCTCGATGGGGGTCTTTATCTCTTTTGATGACCCTCTACCCTTCCAAGCACAATATCCTTTTCAAAGAAAAGCCCCTCCTAGCAACATGTCCAAAGTATGAGAGACAAATAGTTATCCTTGCCTCCAAGGAGCACTCCAACTGCTAAAATGAAAAGTGGCAGCCTAGGACCAGGTCTAGGGTAAAGCAAGCCAAAGAACTGAACTGGTGCAAAATCTAAGGTGGCTTTAAGAGGAGCACCTCCTTAAATGAGGCCCTCAGAGGAAACGCTGTTGGCTGCCATGCTCAGCTTACGTAGCTCAAAAGGTACTAGACTGGGTAGCTTCAAATTCTCTTCTAGTTTTAGACGTTTTAGAAGAGTGAAGTGGAGGGGAGGGAGTGGGCAGGGAGAAAACTGCGACAATGAATGACTGGAAACCCTAAGTCTCTGTAAACTTTCATTAAAATTAATAAAAATCAAAGAATACAGGTAAAAAACCAAAGAAGTCCTACAATAACAAGAATTAAAATTTCCTAGAAGTGCTGAAAGAATTTGTATTAATAAAAGAACAAGTTAAACTTTTCACAGTACATCAACAGGTGGTTGTTGTTGTGTACGGTGGAGTCAGAACTGAGCCGTAGCTGGCCCTCTACTGGGTATTCAGAGGCAGTTCACTGCACAGGAGGAGACTGCCCATCTGTCCTCACGGAGCAGCTGGTGGATTTGAACCCTGTACCTAGGGGTTGGCAGTACACCACCAAGTCACCAACTCTGTTGCTTTGCTCTGTCCTTGTAGGGCATGTGTGTGTAGGAAGCTGAGTTAGGTGTGTTTCTTGCTAACTGGCTTTCTTTGGCAACGACTCCAAGAGCAGCTGTTTATTTAAAGCGGAGCGAAAAGTTCAAACTACTCTCAAACGAAACCGTACAGCAGAGCACAGCGCCGTGGTAAAGGACTCATCGCGCAGTGTGAGGACCCTGTGCGAGCAGGTATTCTTTTTAAGAACTCTCCTTTCTGTACTATTCAGTAACTGTTTAACGAGAGACGATCGTCCCAAGTTCCAAAGACTTACTGAGGTGGTGCAGAGAACTCAGAACAGTGTCAGAAATGTGCCTTTATGCGTCTTTTAGTTATTATATGAAAATAAGTATCGGGACCTTCAGTTAACTTTGTGTTTCTGTGGTTGTCTGTGAAGAGTACAGATGGGATTATCCTACTGGCTTCTCTTAGAAGGGGGGGCACTTTATTTGCTCTTGGCCCTGTCATCATTTCATGACTTCATGTAAGGAGACCTGTGTCCTTCTCACAGAAGCCCAGTCACGGTCCCGCACGGCTGGACCTGACACGGGGTAAAAGGGAGCCAGAGCCTGCTTTGTGCCTTATGGAGCTGACTTGGGTTTTGTTCCTGCCACCCTTTAAAGAAATGGCCCCAAACGTGACTCTGATTCGCCTCTCAAGGTCCTTTAAGAAGTCTAACACAAATTCAGATAAGCAGGAAAAGCCGGCCCAACTGACAGGCCCTGTCAGTTAAGGTCTGGAAAGGAGAGCGTGGCCACTCCTACCCGTGTCAAGAACCCTTAGAGCGTGTTTCAGAGGTGACACAGCGAGTGCAGGCCCTCCCCCAGGGCTGACTGTCTCCTATAATAGCTTGTGAAATCCAAAGCTGCTTGCTTCCACACTTGGCAGGACATTCAATCCTGACCAGCACGCGCGATGGAGCACCGTCCTCTTCACCTTCCTCCTCCCATCTCCCATCTCATCATTCCAGAAGCTCCCTTCTAGTTCCGCCACCTTTTCCATTCAGCGATGCCCTTCCTGAGGTGTGCATGGCCCCCAGGCCCTCTGACAAGTGCTCTGCCTCCCGTCTCCCCTGCTCGGTTCTCCAACCATCATTAAACCTGCCCCGCTCTGGGTGGGAGTGGATTAAACTTGCCTTTCTTCCATCTGGTCTCCTTGCTTCCTCCTCTCCCTGGGGTGAAGAAGAAAGCCACCTCTCAGCTGCCTCCTCCTCCTCTTCTGTCCCTGAGAGGAGCCTTTTATCCTGAAGAGACAAGGAAGTTTGCTCACTAGCAGCATTCCTGCAAGAGGGAGTGGCTGCTTTCCAGAGCCCGGTGTCTGTGATGGGACCCAGGGACCCCCAGCATCAGGACCACCAGGGAGCTACACAGGAAAGCTGCATGGTGGTCGCTTCCCCGGGCCAAGTGTGTTAACATGTGCACATTAATAAGGTCTGCAGGCAATTCGGGTGGTACACTGAAGTTTGACAAGCACTGCTGGACACCGTGAGAGTTTAGAAGAGGACTGATCCTGGATCTGGAAGTCAAGGGTTTCCTAAAGAGAAGGGCCAGTGCAAACAGGAAAGGGGATGCCAACAGTGAGACTCCTGGGGGTGTCAGATCCCAGAGCCCTGCCCCAAAAGGGGAAAAGGTCTAGGGGAACGAGCAGCCTGGCCTGTGGAACTGGTACAGCAACAGAGGGCATCATCTTAGCCAGGACAGCACCCTCCCTAGAGAGGGCATCGCAGGGCACCAATATTGCTCATCAACACGCAACTTCAGAAAATAAGCTTCCAGCAAGCCAGGCCCAGAGATGTGGTGACACCCACTCTCCCAGAGTAAAGAATGCACCCAGACCCTTGGCCAAGACAGCAGCAGACGTGGCCCCTACTGACCCCTTTGCTCCCTGTTGACGGAACTGAGAAGACCTGGTGGAAATTGCAACCTGGGAGCTGGTGACATTCACAGTCTCTGTGAGCTGGGCCAGGACTCTATTTGTCCAGCTCCCATGTTCCAAGGAATCTCATGTGGCTGACAAAGGGTCTCAGTCTTATTTCGTGTCCAAAAGGGTCCTGATTTATAGGAGAGGCAAGACCACCTACATATACTTACGTCCACCTGGAGGAATTAGAGCAAGGGTCACTCTGGTGGGGAACATGGCTGGTCAGCTCAGGGGAGAAGACAATGTCACAAGTCAGAACCTCAGGACCCTGAGAGTGATTGGAAACGTGGAGAAAAGGTGCCCAGTTTGAGGGAACTCGGGCCCTTCCACACACAGGTGGCACCAACACCCTTCTCAGAACTGGGATGAGAGCTAAGATCTGAGATCTGAGATTCTGCGCTCAGCCCCTGTCCTAAGAGGCAGCCACTTCTCTACTCACCACGGTCACATGGGCAGGACTGGTCCTGCGCCCCTCGTCTCTGGGGCCTGGAACACAGCCTGCAACTGGCCTCACATCATAGGGAAGGAAGCAAGAGGAAGAAAGGGGCCAGCACCGAGCGTGCACTGCCCGCGTCACCACATTATCTGCTAAAGCGTGAGTGAGCAGAGAAGCTCTGAAGGCCAGCCGAGGCTGGGCGCCCTGACTGCTCCAACTTCAGAGTTCAGAACTCCACAACAGGCACAGCCCTGAATGATTAAACAGACTACTGGCAGCTTCCTCCTCTCAGAGGGGGCAGAAAACAAGTATTCTAAGACAGCGTGATGGAATACGAGGTCTGTAGGGGGCTCCTGCTCATCCCAGAGCTTGGTGGCTGTACTCTGGCAGAACCACACGCCCAGGCTGGGAGGAGGCAGAGAGGTACCCCTACAGCACCAGAGGGATTACCGTTCCTGAGAAAGGCAAAGGTCCAACACATGAACAAGAATGAGAGTTCACCATGAACTTGAACCCTTCCAAGTCACTTTGGCCAAAACTGCCATGAAATTGGTGTCTATCATCTGTAAAGGACCCTGAATCAAGGCTGTTTGAGACATCAAAGCCTGTCCAGCGGCCTGTGGGGGTATTTCCAATGAGTAAACAACAGTTTTAATTTGCTCAGCTCCACAATCAACACTCTTGGTAACTAACAGCAGGCAGGAAATCAAGAGATGAATTGCATTGGGAAAGTCAGCTGTCGGGGACCTCTCCAGAGAACTGAAGAGCAATGACATGTGTGCCTCATCCAGGCCATGGTCTTTGCAATCACTTGTTATGAGTCAGAGAGCAGGACAATGACTAGGGATGATAGAGAATTGACACCTTTGAGCTGTGGTGTTGGAGAAGAGTGCTGAATACACCATGGACTGCTAGGAGAACAAACAGGTTCATCCTGGAGCGGTGAAGCCAGGCTGCTCCTTGGAGGTAAGGATTCTGCAGCTTTGTCTGACCTACTTTGGGCACGTTGCAAGGAGGGACTGGTCCTTGGAGAGGGACATCATGTCTGGAAGGGTAGAGGGACAGAGCAAGAGAGGAAGACCCTTGACCAGATGGATTGATTCAGTGATTGGGGGGATGGGGTGGGTGTGTTATAGACAGTGAGGTTGGGTCAGCATAGAGCAGTGTTTAGGGCTCGTGTTTATAGGGTCGCTATGAGTCACAAGTGACTCGACGGCACATAACAACAACAAAGAAAACAGAATTTGTTCTTGAAGAGTTTAGGATGCTAAAGAACTCATTTCACAAGGATTTACAACCTTATTAGTGATTGGACATCTAAGAGCGTTTGGCAAGGTCTGAACTGGGCTATTAGAACCATAAACCCCTGGGTGGCAGACACAACTATGTTGCCGCCTAGCAGCCTAGATGTCCAACAAGCTGGATGGACACAGTGACTTCCCCAAGGAGTATGACAGACACTGTGAGGGTGGTGACTGCAGCACGAGGCTCACAGGGCAGCTGTGAGCCACAGTGGACTCAAGGGAGCCCACCAGCAGCTGCTCACCACCACCCGCCCGAAGGCGGCAGCGCGACCTGTCCGTCCGTCTGTCCGAGAGCACCAAGGGAGGTCCACTCTCGTGCAAAGGCCGTAGTTAGGACCTGAGAGCAGCGGTACTTCCTCAAGCCAAGGGCTAACGTGAGCGTGACTCAACGGCAACGGAGCTCGCTCATTTTCCTGGGGTTGTGTGCACGTGTGTGTATCACAATGCACAAGATATGGCAGGAAACAGAAAAGAATAAAAAATAAGGTGCTCAAAAAAAGGAAAAATGGGCGTGAAAGACAACGATGATAGCATGAATGGAATTCAAGCTGTGTACACATAACTGTTCTAGAGATGAAGTTTCGTGTGTCCACTGTTGATCAGTGATAATGAAGTTGTACTGTTCACAGCAGGCAGCTCACTGATGTTTGGATTTCTAGATGCAGACGATTTGGTAAGAACTGTTACCAACCGGGGCCTTAGGTTCTGGAACAAAGTCTGGAAGATGCTGCCCAGAAGTGGGCAAGGCTGGGCTGCCTTCTTGTTCCTTCCTTGTCCTTATTCCTATCCACCTGGTAGGAAGGTGGGCAGGGAGATGGACTCCTTTACAACACGGATATAAACAGATTAAAGCACAAAGAGGTCCTCTGTCAAAACTCAAAGGGTACTTACACAGAGCCCGTCAACACTTGGCTGCTGGAATTTCCAGGATCGCATCTCCAGCATTCGTTTGCTACTTTCATATTTTTCTTCTGTAATCTTTCTGAAAATCCAAAATAAATGTAGAAAAACAGCTAGTTTCCTAAAACTATAAAGAAATAATACAATTAAGTCTGAGCCCTGTTTCTGCAGGCAAACTGGGGTGTTTGGAAGCCAAGGCAATGGGTCAGCCCTTCAACAAGGTGCATACTATGCTGTACCCCTTTCATCCAGTTTAAACCACAGAAGGTGACCTGGTTCTTTATTCATCATTCAATCCAGTGCTGCTGAGTTCACTGGAACTCACAGGGACCCTCCATCAGGTTTACACAGCTGTAAATCTGTACAAGAGGAAGATGCACCTGTCTTTATCCACGCGAGAGAGAACGTCTAGGATGCACCCATCTCTCTCCCACGCTAGCTGAGGGCTCTGACCCGCTGACCACTTGGCTAGCAGCTCCACACATCCCACACCACAGAGCTCCTTCCCTACTCATCATTGAACAGCCCCTCAAACCACCACCAAGTCGATTCCCCCTACAGTGACTCGGCAGGGTTTCTTAGGGCTGTGAATCTGAACAGGAGGAGACTGTCCTGTGGAACCATGGTAGATCTGAAGCACTAGGGACAGCCAGCCTTTTGGTGAGCAGTACAGCACGGCATGGACTACGCTCCTCTATTCACCACGAGAACACTGCGTGCAGCTGAAGTAGAAGACAGTGCTGATTCCAGAACGTGACGACTGGGGGGACGGGGCCTCAACGTCTGACATGACACCTCACATGCCCAGGAACCAGGTAACTGTCTATGGATGGCTGTTACTCTCAGGTGCCATCAAGTTGAGTACGACTCAACAAGGGATCTGGATCCTGTTCCATCCTGTGCTGTCCTCATCATCTATGACACACTGGAGTCCGTTGCTGTGGTCACTGTTCAATTCATCCCGTCAAATCCATTGATATTTCTTAACCCCATACAGAAACCAGAGCCTTTTCAATCTATTTACCTATTACCTCTTCTACCCTATTTCCCCAAATGCACTTAGCATTGTGAGTCTGGATCTGTGCAGAGAATCCCACTGTCCTAACACCAGTTACACAACTAATTCCCTTTACTAGGACTAGTACAACGCTGAATCCTGTGACGTGGAGGTTAAACGCATCCCAAATAGCCAACTCTTTTGAATGATGATACCACTCTGTCATCTCTAACATCAACTGGGAGAAAGATGAGACAATCTCCTCATGTGAAAATCACAGTGGTGGGAACTGAAGGGTGTGTCACTATGGAAACCCAATGGCCTCACTATGGAAACCCAATGGTGGTCACTATGGAAACCCAATGGTGGGACACTATGGAAACCCAATGGTGGTCGCTATGGAAACCCAATGTGACCCCTCTTTGCAGATACACACAGGAGGTGGCAGCACCATTGCATCTGCAGACAGGTTACTCGCACCAGCGGTAGCCCCCACCTGTGGTCAGCCTCCCCTCCACACAAGACTGGGGGCCCGGCAGCACTGCGTCTCGTGCCCAACAACCTTCTAGAGCTCGGTAAGCTGGTGCCCAGTGAACAAGCAAACGAATCATTAAATGCATGCTTGAGCTCATTTTGATTTCTGGGCTTGGTTTTTGTTTAGCGCCCTGGGAAGAGGCCTGCGTCAGGATGCCAGGTGTATGGGCCCTTACTTGAGCTTCCTGGACGTCCCGCCAGCAGCTTGGAGCCTCGGAAGGCGCATCTTCTCCCTCGGTGTCATTTCCTGTACCTCGGACAGCGCCCGCAGAGTCTGCAGGTGGGCCTTTGTTGTCCTGTAAATCATACGGACTCCTGCATGCAGCCCACCCGGCCATGCTCAAGAATGCCCCAATCACTTGTACAAGAGCTCTGGGACTGTGCGCTGGGAAGGGGACATCTCGAGGACAGGGGGGACAGGCAAAAATACCAATACCCTGGTAAGTGACGAGCCAGTCAGGATGCCAGCAACCAGCAAAATCTTTCAATTAGGTTTTCTGTTTAAAAGCAAATTACATACTTTCCAAATTTCTGCTTATTTTATTGCCTGTGACCGGTGCTCAAAAAATAACATCAGGTAATTTAGGAACTTGGCAATTACGCTGTAAGTTGGATGGCAGAGTAATTCAACCAGCGGGTGAGGACACAGAACTTGGATGCGGGCAGGAAGGGTGGGATGCCATGCCCATCCAGCTCGGCTCAGGACCTGGAGAAGTTTCTCCATGGCTCTGAGCCTCAGTTTCTTGTCCACAGAAGAACAGGCTGTCCACCGAGTTAGGGAACACGTCAACAGTGTGAGACACAGGAACCGTTCAAATTGGTGGGACTGCCGGGAAATTCCACAGGTTTTCTCTCCTTAACGTCAAACCTCAGTGGGTAGTTTTATGGTAAGAGAGGGTAGTGGTTAATTGTTCAGGCTGGTAATTCCAGGTTATGTGTCTGTATGTAGGTTACATACTTGCTCTGTGACCATGGGGTTATGGGAGGGAATTATAAACCTCACAGGCTGCTTTGGGTTTAAATGTGTTAATTCAGGTAAAGCGCTAATAAAAGAGAATTCTATAGTATCATGATCCAAACTAACGTCAGCCAAATTGTTACTTAAAGACTGCTTGGCAGGAAAAAGGGGCAATCTCCTCCAGCCCGGCTACAGCCTCTGAAAAGGCCGCTGGAGGCTCAGCGGGGAGTCAGTCCGACTCCTTGGCAATGCGCTTGAGTCGTGAGTTCTTCTGTAGTTCAGGACCTGTGCACAGAAACGGACAGGGGGGACCACGTTCACATTCCCACAGCATCTCCTCCTAGAGATCCGGGTAGGTCCAGGCTGCGGCTGCCTTCCAATGCCAAGCGGCCCCTTTGAATCGCCAGGGGACAATTACAATGACCATCATCTGCAGTTCTCGTCCCTCTGGGATCCTGTCCAGGCAGCCAGGAGCTCTGCGGGTTTCAGGAACACACACGCCTTATTTGAGAAGAACAAACAGATCTCTTCAAAGATGGAGGCTTAGACCTTGAAAACAGCAGAGTGACCACGTGAAACTCATACTGCACAATAGGAAGCGGGCTGGCTCCAAGCATCGGGGTTCTGGCCCGCTGCTAACCATAAAACCACCCCGGTGTGGAGCGAGGTTACAGTCTGTCCTGTGCTTTTATAAGACGGCCACTCTCTCACATCTCAAGTTAATGGAATGAAAGAAGTCATTCTGGGCTGTCTTCAAACTGTAGTTAGCAACCCAAGAAAAGTAGGTAATTGGAAGCTGACCTTACAATGTACCCTGCGGCAATGGGCTGTGTATTTTCAGGTCAGGAGGTACACGTCCTGTCCGGCTGAATTCGGTCCCGAAGGCTGAGCCTGAGATCTGTCTAATATTAATTGCTCCCCCCAGGGCCCCACCTAGAACTTCACAGGTCCGCTCTCCAGGTTATCAAAGCTTAATGGCCAGCTTACAGTTGGCCGGGGCTCTGGGAGGAAAACAAGCCACAGTGTCTGCTTGTCCCAACAAGTCTCTCACCCAACCCTGTGGTCATCAAGGTGACAGGCAGGCCCAGCCTTCATGGACAGATTTCCCACAGGACGGTGGGCTCATTAGTGGGGCCTTCTGCAGAAGTGGACGTGGGCATGATGGGACATGACCTTACTGTCGCCAGGAAGACAAAGGGCAGCTCGTGGGAGGCAGGGGTCATGCCTCTGACACAGTAAAGGGCACGCACAGGGGCGTGGAGAGAGGAGACCCACCATTTCTCTGGTGAGCCGTCTTCTCCAGCGCTTGGACACAGAACGAAGGAGTGCAGAGAAGGGAGGTGTCAAGGACTCGCTCTCCATTTAACTGATTCATGTAACCTCTTTCTTCCAGAAGCCTAGAGACCCTGGACTACTTTCTGGGAATCGTTTTCTTTTCTTCCATAGTAGGGTATGAGGAGGGCAAGATGAGTGTCACAGCACCATGGCCAGAATTCAGACCGCAGCCTGACAGCGACACACCTCAGTGACTGCTGGGGGACAGTCATCGGTCCAACGTTAAGGGTAACCAGCAGCCACTCTCGCCATAAGCAAGCTCAGAGAAGAGGCGCTTTCCTCTAATTCGTAGGCCGTGATTAGTGTAAAAGAGACACATGTAATTTATACACAAGGTGGCAAAGCTCAGAGTCTGCGGCAAGTGTCATCTCAGGGGGAGGCACCAGCCGGGCTGTCCACCATGACTAGTCCCCTCACTCAGGGGTGACTGGGTGGAAGCCCTGCACTGTGGAGACCCAGGTGCCTCCCTGGCTTTTGTCTGAACTTCTGAGGGCCAGGACCGAGCCGCACCTTTCTAACACAATGAGTTTGGGGGTGTAAATTCATAGTCATCCTCTAAAGAGCCTGGCCCTGCGTGGGCCTTCAGGTAAGTCAGACTTCTCCCCAGGATGCGAACTGGTTTTCTAAGCTCGAGAAGCCCCTGGAAAGGGGGTCAGAGGGGGGCTCTCAAGTCTTGGCAATCAGCCTCCTGCGGGCTCCTGTTCTTGCCCCATCACCCTACACAGCTCGTGGGATGCAACTGCCACTCTCACTGGCTGTCTTCAAGAGAAAATCCAGCAAGTCACGGACTGGGGCTGTGTGGGCGGTGCGGCCCTGCAGCTGTGCAGTGCACAGTCCGGACTACCGTCCACAGAGCTTCTCAAAGGAGCATCTCTGTGCGTCTGCAGGTTACAATGCAGCCTGTTTAATAAGGCGGGGGCATCAAGCCAGGAAGTAATGGGGCTCTTTACGACACGCACGCTTCCTAATTCTTACGTGAAGGGATGCATCTCTCACGAAGGGTCATCTGGATGTCTTTGCTGCAGCTGTCACAGGCCTCCACAATACCGTTTTGAACGATGCTCTGCCAGGTGCTGGTGCACGTGGGAGAGTTCTTTAGACTGAACACGGAAGGCTCGCGAGCACAGAGATCCCATGTTTCAGAGGGTCGGTTCTCTCGACCCCCAGAGGCAGCCATGGGGGGACCCTGCACATCCACACGCTGCAGGTTGGTTTAAACTTTTACAGCTTCAATTTGCTACCTCCTGGGGCAAAGGGCTTTAGTACTTAAAGTCACTAAAGCTCCTTAATTTCTTGGCAAGGCTTAAAGTGAATCCAGGACACTTCCTGTAGTCGGCTTAGTGCTTGCTAACAGATTTTTAAAAACAAAGCAGTTACTTACACAGCATTAATTACACGAGCAGCTTCCTTCTGACAATTCAAATTCTTGTCTTCCACGGACATTTCTGAATATCTGCACATCAGGCGCTGAAAAACAGAACCATCAGGCTGACACCCCAAGGCTCCTCACCAGGACTGGCAGGGTGGCTGGAAACTAAGAATAAGACAAGGACTTTCCTCTTATGAAAGGTCACATAAAGTGACACAGCAGCTTCTATGACAGGGTCCCGCTGGGTCAGATGTCCTCCCAACTGTCCAGCTTCCCCGTGCACTGGGTGCCTTCCACAAAGTCAGGGGGCAGGCCTTCTCCCGGCTCAGAGAACACGACCTCGGTGTCTAAGGCCAGGGGTGGGGAGAGAGGCACCGGCCTCAGGAACAACATTCAAACCAGAAGCCAGGATACGCGATGTCTTAACTCAGTGTTATTAAACATCCCAACAGAGGCCCGGCCACAGATCCAAGCTTTTGAAGACGGCTCCAGCCTTGTCCGTGCACAGCCCTGTCTCGGCCGCTTCCTCATCTCTGTCCTGCTGGGTCCTCTAACTGGCAATCTGTCATTCACAGTGGATTGCTGGGATCTGTTTTCGTTCCTTAAAGACAGAGTCCTAAAGGGACTCAGACTGCCTTGCCTGCCTCTGTGTGCCCCGTGTTCTCCGTTTTGTATGCAGGGCGGGTAACTGCCTTGCTTCCCTCTAGCTGGAGCGTGGAAGCCCACAGTCCCTCTGGTGCGTTTTCACAAGGCCCAGCACCTGGGCCTCAGGGTTCCTGGCCAGCACACAGGGAGGGCTGGTGGCCTAGCACCTTGTTGTCCTGCCAACCAGAAGGCCGGCTGTGTGCAGCAGTTCAAACCCACTGGCAGCTCCGAGGGAGGGCGGGCAATTTCTGTGGCCAAGGGTTCCAGTCTTGGCAGCCTGACCCAGGGTCACCGAGCCAGGGCCCGTGACCGATGGCTGAGGGCTGGCTTCTGGGAAGTCCCAGGAACTCAGCCTCTACCCTGACTCTCCTTCAGTTTCCTCCTCCCTGCCTCACTCACCTCCCACGGGAGAACACTCCAGCACAAGGCCCCTCCTGGGTCCCACACGCTCAGGTTCCAGGTCCGTGCACTGGCCCTTCCCGGTGTTTCGGTTGCGTGGTTCCTCCCGTGGCTGGCTGGTCCCTGCTGTCTCAGGGGCGTTTCCGCAGGCTCCTCCTGGCCCACCGAGAGCCCTCCCTCTCCTGATGTTTTACATTACCTCGTGCCTGCGAGTGTGTGCATGTGTGTCTGACTGATGGCGGCCTGTGTCTGCTGGCTGCTCAGTTACCAGGTGAGCAGACACTGCCGGGCCTTCTCCCTGCACCCATTCAGGAGCCCTGGGGGGTCCTCCCTGCACCCATTCAGGAGCCCTGCCTGCCAACGCCACCACCTGTCTGCCTATTGTTGGGTTTATGTTATGAGATGTGAATCCTTTTCTCCATTTCTGTAGGTAGAGGCCCAGTTCTGCCAGCTCCATTTGTCAAAGAAGACGTCATTTCTGCACTTGACGAGCTTTGTTTCCATGTCAACTATCAATCGACTACAGGTAGATTTCTGGGCTCTTGATTCTGTTCCCTTGGCCTTTGTGTTTGCCAATATCATGTTGTTGCTATGACCGTGTGGCAGTGTTTAAGACATGGGAGTATGGTGCCTTATACTTCACTGTTATTCTTCTACCTCCTTGAGGAATGAGCTTGGTACAACTGTTATTTTCAAGCTCTTGAATCTTCTGGTACATGAATAGGGAATATTTTTTCATTTAATTATGTATTCTATTGTTTCCTGAAGGGCGTTATAGTGACTGGCAGGTAAGAAATTTCCCTGCCAGTCCAAAAGTACATGGTTCAAATCCATCAGCTGCTCTGCAGGAGAGAGATGGGAAATAGCTCTCTTCCTGTGCAATTACTGTTTCAGAATACCGCTGGAGGCCCTGAAAAGCCTCTCTGGAGGCTCGGCTGTGGGCTGGTTCTGATCCAACAGCACACAACCACCACCACCTCTACCCAGCATGACATCTTTTTCCAAGGCCTGGACCCTGCTGACAAAATGCCCAGGGTGTGTAAGATGCAGTTTCAGCATCTCTGCCTCTACAGACCACCCTGGCTGTCCAACCCCAAGTTCCATCTAAATGAGAACAGGTAACCAGGGTTCACATACTTATTTGTGTAGAAAGCTCGTCATGACTAATATTTCCCTAGTTTCTTTTCACACTAACTTTTCCCTTCTGATTCATAAAGCACCTTATTCCCATAGCCTATCTGCAGGTTAAGGAATGCACACAGAAACCATAACCTGCACCCCCCAGCATTCTCTTAATCCTAAGTACCTGCAGTTGCTCACTGATGTAAGGGACTTTTAAAATCTCCACAGCAGATGGTCTCAGTGCAGGGCTCTTGTTCAACATGCTGTAAAGTTTAAGAAGAACGTCATTGTCCACGGGCTCACACTGAACACAGGTTCCCTGTCTGGTGTCCACGCGTTTCTTCTCTGCACCTTCCCAGGACGGCATTCAGCTCCCGCGGGTATCTCTCGGGGAGGGAAGGCGTGGCGCCTTCAACGATTTTCAAGACAACAGACAGGAAATTGGAGCCCACGAACGCGTGATTCATGCAGCACATCTCATACAAAATGCACGCCAGTGACCTAAGGACAAAGTTGGAGAATTTGCATAAGGAAAAAATGGTCCTGTTTTAAGTTTGTTCGTCCCACAGAACTTCAGATGTTTGAGCCTTGGCTGGGAGGCGCTACTGCACGCTTCAGTTGTTTGCTTAAAGACTCAGTTTCATACTGTTCCTTTCTGAGTTAGATTTATTACTTAAAAGAACGAAATTAAAAAGTAAAGAAGAAAGCTCAAAGGTGGAGTCTCAAGGAGCACCTTCTGTCAACAGCAGCAAGGTGATGGCCAGTCCCTGGCTGCCCTGGGCTGAGGCTGACCCCGGGCTCCCTGCAGGGTGGGCAGTGCCCTGGAGAGCCGCCAGGCTGGACGGCCTCGGGAGGAGACACACAGGCTCCTCTTCCCTTCACTCAGCAGTGTCCGGCTTGAACCCCCAGCCCTAACCCCCCACCCCACCACCACACGTACAACATCAATATTTCATCAATTCTCCCAAGAATTTTTTAATTAACATCTACAGAGGAAAATTAGCAAACAACCAAATTTTGTCACCCCAAGGCAGCTTTGTAATATTACAAATGCAAGATTTTAATTTATCGGCCTAAGCTTGCCACTAACATGAGGCCACACATTTTGAAGAGGAAACTGGCATCCTTTTATTAGCTTTCTAAATGTAATCTATTTGAAAATTGGGTGAAAAAACAATTATCTGCAATTCACATTAAAATTTATAGTTTTCCTTTGGGGTATGAACTAGAATATTAAAATTCTAGACCAATGTCATACTGATTTGGATGAACCAGGCATGTTTATACCCTCTCAGGCACAGGACACCATGAAGAAAAGGAAGCAGGAATTCTCGCCTGCACCTGGTGAGAAAGAGTAATTGGACTTTCTCCACATCCTGCCTTTACTTCTGACATCTGGGCATTACAGTTAAGTGACTGACAAGTTTCCTGTTCTCATAACACAAGCTGGAAGACGTAAAGCACCCTGGTGACCAGCCTGTGTGAGCTGTGTTTGAGAGGACTTTTAACCCAATCTACAATTCTAACTGACCACGAGAAATGTATACATAAACAGACACATACACAAGTACAATCACTTTAATCCTTTCTAGGTTTCTATCAGTGCTTTTGTTGGTAAAGGAACGCTGAACATATCCATGGGGAATACTTCTTTTCTAGAAGATAATAACAAGGACTTTCAGTGGTCGGTACCTTGCCTTGTTTCAAAGCTCTTTCTCATATAGCCTCACTGTAATAACCGAGTGATAAAGGGCTGTGATCACACCTTCCTGGAGCCCTGGTGGCCTGTTCCACAGGGAAGCTGGGCTGTTAACTCACGGGGGCGGGTGGGGGGGCACCTCTGGTAGTAGGAATCCAGAAGCTGCTCTAAGAAGAAAGACACACAATCTCCTCCTGTGCAATACACAGCCCCTGAAAGCTCACGGGAATGCCAGCTCCAGTCAGCTCTGCGTCAAGGGCAGCAACTGACTAGGTGACCAGAACTTTCCAGTATTGTTCTTATGTGCCATCGAGTCTCCTGCGACTCATAGGGACCCCGTGTATAACAGCCCTAAACTCTGCTCTGTCCTGTGCCAATCACACTGTCTCCAACACACCCAGTCCGATTACCCAGTCACTGAATCAATCCATCTCATAGAGGGTCTTCCCCTCCTGCATTGTCCCTCCACCCTCCCAAGCATGATGTCCCTCCCAAGGACCAGGCTCTCCTTACAACATGTCCAAAGCATGTCAGACAAAGCTTCAGAATCCTTGCCTCCAAGGAGCAGTCCGGTTTAACCCTCTCCAGGATGAATCTGTTTGTTTTCTTGGCAGTCCATGGTACATTCAATACTCTTCTCCAGTACCACAGCTCAAAGGCATCAATTCTCCTTCTTTCCTCCCTAGTCATTGTCCAACTCTCTGATGCATAACAAGTGATTGCAAAGACCATGGCCTGTATCAGGCGCACCTTAGTCTCTAGAGAGACACCACTGCTCTTCAGAACTTTGGAGAGGTCCCTAACAGCAGACTTTCCCATTGTGATATGTCTTTTAATTTAAAGGCTGGTGCCAAGAGTGTTGACAGTGGAGCCAAGCAAACTAAAGCTGTGAACAATCTCAATCTCTTCACCATCCATCCTGATGCTACCAACTGGCCCAGTGGTGAGAATCTTTGTTTTCTTGATGTTGAGCCTCAGGCCATATTGAAGGCTCCAGTACTTGACCTTCTGGAGCAAGTGCTTCACATCCTCCTCAGTTTCAGCAAGCAGGGTTGTGTCATCTGCATAACAGATTGTTGATGAGTCTACCTCCAATCCTGATGCCACATTCCTCCTCAGAGAGCCCAGTCTCCTGGATAATCTGTTCTTTGGAAAGGTATGGAGACAGGACATATTCCTGGCATCTGTTCTTCCCAATTTTGAACCATGCAGTGTTTCCCTGCTCTGTTCTGACAACTGCCTCCTGGTCCAAGTATGGGTTTCACATTGGCACAATCAAGTGTTCTGGGATTTCCGTTCTTCTCAGAGTAGTCAAGAGACAATATATCACTGTCAGCAAGTGGTCAGTGAGGAGCTATTTCAGTGAGTCAGAGACGCGGCCAAGATCAGGCATGGATTTCACACAGCGACTGCAGTGACTGGCGTGAACCTGCTGGAGATCGTGAGGCTGATGCAAAACAGGGTGCAGTTCTCCGTGCTGCTCACAGGGTCTCTGATCATGGGGTCCCTGTGAGCTGGGGATAACGTGATAGCTAACAACAGATACCAGGCAGTAACCGACAGAAGCTACTCTTACGTTAAGGTACTGATCTTTCTTCCGTCTGAATACTGAACTGTGTCCATCACCTCATGCTAGAAATGAAGAGAACATTAAGAGTAGTGAGAGAATATTAGTCAGAAAGGCAAAACCAATACACACACTGGGATTATTAGAAATTGAGGTTCAATAAATTGGATGCATCTGTGAGCGTTCTTACTGGTATCCAGCATAACAGGAAACACTTTGAATTCTATACCCAGGAACATCGATACTTCAGATCAAGATACTTTCAGATTCACAAAACCCAAGAGAACTCATTTCTGCCAAGAAGACACTAAAAGAAATTTTAAAAATGGAGTTCTCCAAGCAGAGGGAAATAGATACTAGACAGAAACAAGGAATGAAGTGTACTGAACAGGGAAAATTTATCTCTATAAGTGAGTTGTTGTTATGTGTTGTCGAGCTGCCTGCAACTCAGCAGCCCTACGTAAAACAGCTCTTACTGTCTCCAACATACCTATCCCCATTACCCCAGTCACTGAGTCAATCCATCTCATCAAGGTTCCTCCTCTCCTGCGCTGTCCCTCTACCCTCCGAAACATAATGTCCCTCTTCAAGCACTGGTCCCTCCTTACAACATGTCCAAAGTATGTCAGATGGAGCTTCAGAATCCTTGCCTCTAAGGAGCAGCCGAATTTCAACCTCTCCAGGGTGAACTTGTTTGTTCTCCAGCATCACAGCTCAAAGGCATCAACTCTCCTTCTATCATCCCTGGTTACTGTCCAGCTCTCTGATGCACAGCAAGTGACTGCAAAGTCCATGGCCTGTAAACCAACCCTAAAAACAGTATTAACAGTTTTTCATGGGATTCCAAAAAAGATGAATAAAAATTCATTACTAAAAAGCAAAACACAAACTCACTGCATTTATGAAAGACAGTAAAGCAATCCACAGAGAAAAACTGATAGTATTAAATGTGTGTCAGAAAATAAAAAAGGCTAAACTTCAGTCAACCCTCCTCAGAAAGCAAACAAAACCCCAAACCAAGCCAAAGAAAGCATAGGGAAGGAAAGGAAAAGGCAGAACTGAATTAGGTAGACTTAAACACAGGGCTTTAGATCAGTAAATATTGATACATTTCATAAATGTGGAGAAAGCCAAAGGCACTCCAGTGACACAATGGCCAAGGTCCGGCTAAACTCCAGACTGGCGGTTTGAACCCGCCCAGTGGCTCCACCAGACAAGAGCCGTGGGACCTGCTCCCATATCGACTGCAGCCAAGGAAATGTTGTGAGGAGGTCCCTGTCCGATGGGGTCATTCTGAGAACTGACTCAATGGCACTTAACAACTGGCAAGACAATTTGAAGGGGGTAAAAAATACTCAGACTAGAAAATTGGACAAAAGTGTCATGGAGCAAATTCTGATTCGTAGTGACGCTTACAGAACAGAGTCCACGGCACGCAGGGCTGCCCGGACGGTCAGTAACGCAAAGTCTGATGATTAAAATCCACCACCTGCTCTGACAGAGGAAGATGGGCAGTTTCCTCCCAGGAACCTGACAGAGGTTGCCGTGGGTTGGAACTCACCCCACAGCAGTGGGTTGGGCTGCGTTTAGTTTGCAGAGGAGCCCGTACACCCACCTCTCTCATTCAGAGCAGCTTGTTTCAACTAGTTGAAGCCGCTGAACTCCCAAGTCACCTATAATGTACTAAAAAGTATTAAGGTGACACCGTTGTTGTTGACTGTCATCGAGCTGAGCCCGACTCATAGCGACCCCAGGAACAAAAGGCTGAAGCCTGTCGATATCTATCGTCATTTATCGAAGTTCATAGAGCTTCCAGAGGCATGTGGTTTAGGAAGTGGATGCCTCTCCTGCTTCCAAATCAGTGCTGGTAGGAAAGGCTTCTCCCACCAGGATAAAACCGGCAGGCACTTGTTCCCTCTACATTTAAGAAGTTCAGTGTAGTCAATTTACACATTTTCCAATCAACATTATCATTCTAATAACTTTCACAACCCACATCTTTATAAATACAGCTTGCCAAACAGACATAAGAAGAAATGGAAACCCTTACAGCTATTAAACAAAGAAAAGTCATTCTTTTTAAAACATAACCTTGATATTAAATTATAATCAAGACATTACATAAAAAACAAAACTACAGTCCAGCTCTTCATGGACTCCTATTTAAAAATATAAATAAATACAAGCACACACATAACATAAAATTTATTAATATCTCCAAAATAAAATCAGGAT